CCTAAGCAAAGATGTAAAAGATCTATTTAATGAAAACTATAAAAAGTTAAAGAAAAAAGTTGCAGAGGACACTAGGAAATGGAAAGACCTCCCATACTCTTGGATAGGCCGACTTAATATAGTGAAGATGGTAATACTGCCAAAATTAATATACAAATTCAATGCAATTCCTAGGAAATCCCAATGACGTACATCACTGAAATACAGAAAACAGTCCAAAAATTCATATGGAACAACAAAAGACCTAGAATAGCCAAAACAATTCTAGGGAATAAAGACAACATGGGAGGGATATCCATGCCGAACTTCAAACTCTATTACAGAGCTATAATAACAAGGACAGCATGGTACTAGCACAAAAACAGACCTGAAGACCAATGGAACAGAATAGAAGATCCAGATATAAATCCACAGGCCTACAGCCAGCTGATATTTGACAAAGGAGCCAAAGACATACAATGGAAGAAACACAGCCTCTTCAACCACTGGTGCTGGGAAAACTGCAGCCACATGCAGAAAACTAAAAGTGGACCCCAGCCTATCACCATGCACCAACATCAACTCAAAATGGATCAAAGACCTTAACATTAAACCTGAATCTCTGAAACTACTGCAGGACAGAGGAGGAGAGACACTTGAACTAATAGGCACAGGAAGGAACTTCCTGAACAGAGTCCCAGGGTCACAACAAATTAGAGAGAGACTCGATAAATGGGACTACCTTAAAATAAAAAGCTTCTGCACAGCTAAATCTATCACAACCAAGCTAGAAAGACAACCAACTAATTGGGAAAAAATATTTACCAGCAATATATCAGACAAGGGATTAACATCCAGTATATACAGGGAACTCAAGAAACTAATCCCTCCCAAACCTAACAAACCAATTACTAAATGGGCAAGGGAACTAAAGAGGGACTTCTCAGATGAAGAAATAAAAATGGCAAAGAAACACATGAGGAAATGTTCATCATCCCTGGTGGTGAAGGAAATGCAAATAAAGACAACCCTGAGATACCACCTTACCCCAGTCAGAATGTCCCACATCCACAAATCAGCCAACGACAAATGCTGGAGGGGATGTGGAGAAAGAGGAACCCTATTACACTCCTGGTGGGAATGTACACTTATACAACCACTTTGGAAAGCAGTCTGGAGGGTCCTTAGAAAGCTAAAGATTGACCTCCCTTACGACCCAGTCATACCACTTCTAGGCATCTACCCTGAACAACAGGAACCAATATACAAGGACACGTGCACCTCCATGTTTATTGCAGCACTGTTCACAATAGCTAGGATATGGAAACAACCCAGATGCCCCACCACAGATGAATGGATCCAAAAATTGTGGTATCTATACACAATGGAATATTATGCAGCCATTAGAAATGACAAAATAATGGCATTTGCAGGAAAATGGACAGAGCTAGAAGGAATCATGTTGAGCGAGGTAAGCCAAGAGCAAAGAGACAAACAGTACATGGTCTCCCTGATAAGTGGATACTAAATCCAAAATGTTAGGTGATACGACAAAATTAACAGGTCTTAAGAAACAAAGAACTCCCACTCATCTGGTCGAACCACTACTAAATATCCCCATGCTGCTGATCACATGTATGGTGTATAACATGTGAACACCTTTATATGTTATAGACTGTGATAGACAATTTGCTCCAGGAAAGTTAGAATGAACTTGTGACTTTAAATGAGCATCATTATTCCACAATACTGTGAAATTCGGGAAATTATGTAATCACTTAATCACAATAAAAAAAAAAAGAACCTAGGGGCAGGTAGGGAGGGAAGGGATGGTAGGGGGAAAACAATGGAGAGGGTAATAATATTCAATAGAAAGTGTACTCATTAGCTTACTCATGTAACTGTAACACTCTGTATAGTATCTTTACAATAAAAAAAAAAAGACTTACAGAGAAACTTCTCTGAAGAGGAAATAAGGATGGCCAATAGACACATGAAGAAATGTTCAACCTCTCTAGCCATAAAAGAAATGCAAATCAAAACAACACTGAGATTCCACGTAACCCCAGTTAGAATGGCTATAATCAAGAACTCTAATAACAACAGATGCTGGAGGGGATGTGTACAGAAGGGAACCCTACTGCATTGTTTGTGGGAGTATAAACGTGTTCAAACACTTTGGAAAGTAGTATGGAGGTTCCTCAAAAGACTCCACATAGAGCTCCCCTATGACCCAGCAATCCCACTTTTGGGCGTTTACCCAAATGATCAAAAACAAGACCATACTAAAGCTATCAGCAAACTATGTTTATTGCAGTATTATTTACCATAGCTAAAATATAAAACCAACCCAGATGCCCCTCAGTAGATGAATGGATCAAGAAAATGTGGTACATATATACAATGGAATTCTATGTCTCCATCAGAAAGAATGACATTGCCCCATTTGTTAGGAAATGGAAAGACTTGGAAAAAATTATATTAAGTGAAATAAGCCAAGGCCCAAAGAAACATAGGTCCCATGGTTTCCCTTATTTGCAATAACTAGTATATGTCTGGGACAAGCAGAAAAGGTCAAAAGCTATGTACATATGACCAGATAAGATGAAGTTAAGCGAAATGTACCCCAAGATAGGGATACAAGTGTTTCCAATGTAGTTATTTGTTTCCAGTGTATTTATAAGGTACCATGTGATTTTTTTGTTGCTTTGTATGTACCTCCCCCACGGTATAATCTCTGTTTTCACTGTATTTGATGTTGGTATAATTTGGGGAGGGGAAGGAAAAAAACAAAATGTTTAAGTAGGATACAGGTTGACCCATTGTCATAGCGAGATGTACAAGACACTATGTTGAAAAAAGAACTTTACAATTTAGGTGGGGGAGGGTGTTGAGGGATTGTAGTTGTGGTGGTAGGAAGGAAAGTTTGGTAGGGAAAAAATAAAGGAGGAGGCAACAATGCTTGATAAGAAATGTGCTCATTGCCTTGCTCATGTAACTATAACCCCTCTGTACAGTATTTTCACAATAAAAACATATTAAAATTAAAAAAGAAAAAAGGTAGGCAATGCAAGATATGAAAGAATTCAACAAAGACTTAGACCTGAAAAAAAAAAAGAACTAAATTTCTGGAATTTAAAGACTTAATAACTGAAATACAAGCTCAATAGAAAGTCTTGCAGACAGAATGGAGCAACTTGAAAATAGAATATCAAAAGTTAAAAAACATACTGTAGCAACTAGATCAGTTAGACAAAGACAAAGTAAAAGTACTAAGACAGTATGAACAAAATTTACAAAGACCTCTGGGACATTATCAAAAAGCCAAATTTATGGATTGTGGGTATAGAAGAAGTTGAAGAGGTACAAACTAAGGGCATCAATAAAACATTTAATAAAACAATAGTAGAAAACTTCCTCAGCCTTGAGAAAGAACCATACAGGTACAAGAGGCTTACAGAACACCAAATAGCCAAGATCAGAGAAGAAACACCTCTAGGCATACTATAGTCAAAACAATAAATATGCTGGAAGGGTCATCCACATCAAAACAGAAGCAACGGAAGTAAAAGAATAAAGACAATAGTCCAGAAGCTCACTGGTTCAGTATCTTTCCATTATGCCCATGACCATTTCCATGAATGACACTAAAAGTTCTGCTAAAAAACAACTGGTTTCAATCCTGTTTCAAAATATTCTATGGAGAATGGTTGTCATGATTGGATAATTTCAGGAACCTCAATTTGTGGTCAGGATTAATGCTGATTCTAACTTTACCATGTATGGGCTATCTTTATGATCTGTCCCCATGTGAAATGTCAAGAAAGAGAAATAACCTCACAGAACCTGTGAGAAGAATACATCACATGTAGTCATATACTTATGCTACAAATGAAGCACAGATATATGAATCCTACAGCAAAACACTTTTTTGTCCCTGCTCCTGCTCTAAGTCTTCCTTTGTCTATATTTGGACTACTGCTACATTCTGCTACTGGCTTCCTGAAAATACTTTCCAAAATACATCCTTCTAAAAACAATGAGATGACCTGTCCTTTAAAAGCTACTATGGCTGGGGCTGGAAAAGTGGCTCAGCGGTAGAGCACTTGGCTTGCATGCAAGAGGTCCTAGGTTCGATTCCTCAGCAAAAAGAAAAAGGCCGGAAGTGGCGCTGTGGCTCAAGTGGTAGAATGCTAGAGCTGAAGAGCTGAGGGACAGTGCCCAGGCCCAAAGTTCAGGCCCCATGACAGGACCTCCCCTTCCCCCCCCCCCCAAAAAAAAACAACTACTGTGGCTTCCTATTACACATTAAAAATATCCATGATCCAACCTCAGTCAGTTTGACTACCATACCTCTGCCTCAAGATCCCTCTCCTATCCCCCCAAATCATACCAAGTTTAGCATCTAGTATAGGCTACTTTCATGCACTATAAATTTGTTCTTTCTCATTAAGATGCTTTTGAATACGTTGCTGCCTGTCTTGAATGCTTTCCCTTCTCCATTGGCGGTTGGTAAAATAATTTTTTCCTTCAAGGCTCAACCCAAACACAGCTTTGACCATATAGATTGCTTTTTCTTTCTTTCACAGAAAGTAATCTTTTTCTCCACAGGGGTTCCTCTGCACTTGAGTTGCAAGGCTCCCATTATCAATGGCCCTATTCGCCTTATCTCCTTCATCAGCTGGAAATAACTTAGGAATAACGATATCCATCTCCCAAGCATTCGGAAGGCCGAGAACATATCAGATATCTAGTTGACTAAACTGCTAAGGCTGTATAGGGGATTAAGTTAGAAACATAGATTACAATGGGAACAAATTTAAATTATAAGTGGAAACTATATCAAATGTGTCTGGTTTATGAACCTGTAAGTTAGATTGGGAAAGTACTGAAATACGGTTTGAAACGGAGACGTTTCATGTATGTGGTATGTGGCTAGGTGCCATCTGAACACAAGAGAAAATTTCCCAAAGGCCAGGCAGGTCCTCCTGGAACACTGGAATCACCCCTTACTTTCCTACCTTAAGTATACGTCAGTCTCCAGAGCATAGGCACCAAATTCAACGGCCTTCTCAAAGGACATCATGGTATTTTCTGGTGCTGCCTGTAGAAGAAATCAAGCCCCGTGCTTTGAAGTCTCTCCACCCCACATCACTTTTATGAGATGGAACCCAGAAATGAAAAGGGGTCGGGAAGCAGAGCTTGTCTCCCTTAGCTCTCTTTTCAAAAAGTCTGCCTATATTTCTCTCTGTCCAATTGAATATTGAGTATGATGGAAGTCAAATAACCTGGGTTTACGCCCAACTTCAACAATTAATTCCTTATTCTTTTCATGCCAAGACAGCTTTTTTCTTTTTTTCTCATCAGGGGTTCCTCATCAGGGGTTCCTAGGGTTCTGAGGTCCTCTTCTCTCTTCTGCATACACCGTACATACCTGTACTCACTCATGTCCATTATGCTCAACCTACCATTGGTGCACCTCTGTGTGCAATAAAGACAGGCCTAGGCCCCAAATCCTCCGTCTTCTGAATGCAAGGAGAATAAATCCCAAGTGGCAACAAATACAGACATATGAGAAGAAGTAAAAAGGGAAATGCAACAGCCACTTGTAGAGCTAAAAAAAAAAAAAAAAAAGGAGAGAAAAGCGGGGGGGTGGGGGGAAAGGTTTTAAAAAAGGGGATAAAGAACCATCCTAGGCAATTAACTACCCCCAAAACAGCAGTCTGAGTAATAACCAGTTCATGAATTCCCTACTTTGTGGACTGGCTGGTTTACCTTCTGTTCATCACATTACCACTTACTTTCAGAGATTTGTACATAATGTTTAAGAATGTTCAGGTGTAAGACTTTAATGTAAGGAAGGGGAGCAGACAAGGAAAAATAGAAAAAGAAGGAGAGGTAATACAAGGAACAGGTTTACAGAGAGGAGCTTATTTAGTTCTGAGAAGCTTGTGAAGATCATCCTCAGATGCTCCTATATCTAGGGCGGAACAGCATTGTAGAAAGGATTCAATCTGATAGAAATCTAGGTTCAGAACCAAAATCTTATCAGTGTGGCTAGGGACATGTGACAATCTCTCTTCATTTTTCTTCCATAAAATAGAAGTGTCTTGCTGCTAACATAAACTTCACAGAGTTGTTTTAATAGTGTTGACTCATAGTAATTATTCAATTAACATTAGTTATTTGCTTCCTTCCTTCCCTGGCTCCAGCCTGGCCATAATCCCTGTTATTCCATTTCCTAATACTGAAGATTTTATACATTTGTACATTAACTAACCACCTATGTTTTAAATAGGTGATTGACTTTTAAATCTAGGTCTCTAGTTCTAACCTCTTAACCTTCTGAATATATCAGTTTCCTCTTCATTTTGCACCTCGAAACATGTCATCTTGAATCTTCTTAGTCTAACTAAAATTTAGAAAATGAAAGAGTTAATTATTGTCCCCTTTAAGAACTTGCCCCAGAAATATTTTCTAAAATGTACCCTCTACACATACATGCACAAAGCTATGTGCACCAAACTGTCATAACACCTTTATCAAATCAGCATTCCCCTCAAGTTGGGAGGCAAATACTCTTGTTTACCTGATAGTGGGGGAAAAAAGAGATAGAGAGAAGATCTGTTCTCAGTAAGGGTGGTGAGAGAGAATTCCATTCTCAAAGTATTTTAGTGTGGTTTCCATTCTCTCTTGTTTCCATAATAGTAGGGGAAAGAAGGGAGAGAAAATTCGTGGAAGAGACAGACTTGTCTGTAGAAATGAAGATTCCCAGGTGTGACAGACTCACAAAAGATTACTTTGAGTTACTTGGATATAACAGGATGTAGTAGTGGTTGAACTTAGTAATATTTGAATACAAACTAAAAGAAACTGAGTCATTGAAGGACTTGCTTCTAGGCCCATTCTTTCTATGTATACAAAGATGGAATATGAAGGATTGACCCCCACCCTGTTTTCCCAGGTGCATACAGATACCAGGCAAGCCACCAAAGATAAGTGCAGACTGCCCAATTCCAGCAGGGCAATATAGCCAAGCCTGCCTATCAACATTCCATGTGGCCCCAATGGAAAAGCCCCCTTCCCCACCTCCCTTTGAACTTGTGGCTTTCTTATTAACCTCTGCCTTCTTGCTCAGATCTCATAAAACCCAGCTCCAGTCCCAGTTCTATAGAGTCTCCAGGCCCTCAGGAAGACTGTATTTCTTGCTGCTCTATCTCAATAAATGGTGTAGAAGATTGAATCTGGCCTGTTTCCTTCCTTTCTCCATTTTCCTAACAGTCATCACAACACTTTGATCAAGTAAAATTAACATGACTTCTACTTCATCATTCGGCTCTCAGATAGGTAATTTCTTTCTCAGAAAGAAGTATGTTAAGCTGGGAGCTGATGCCCTCCCCCCCACTTCAATCCTATCTAGTGAGGAGAGGGAGATCTGAGGATCCCTGTTTGAAGCCATCCTGGGCAGAAAAGCACATGAGACTGTTTATTTTGAACTAACCAACAAAAAAGACCAGAAGTGGAAGAGTGGCTGAAGTGATAGAGTGCCAGCCTTGAGCCATAAAGCTAAGGGATGGCACCCTAGCCCTGAGTTTTAAGCAGAAAGAAAGAAAAGGGAAGGGAAAAGAAAGGAAAGAAAAGGAAGGGAAGGGAAGAAAAGAAAGGAAAGGAAAGAAAAGAAAAGAAGAAAAGAAAAAAAAAAAGAAGCAAGGTAGTATGAAAGGAAGGAAAAAAGAGAGGAATTTCTTACTTTCTGAGAAGAATCCTTTTTAAAAGAAGTCCAGTTTGACCACAGAAATACTATGACAAGCCACGTGGGGTGGTGAGTGACAGCACCAGGAACACACCTGTGCAACAAGCTAAAGGGAATTCAAAGAGGCACAGAAGTGGCCAGCTACCAGGTTTCTGTTTCTCTTAGTGGTGGATGCAAGCTAAGGCCAGAATGGAAGAGATGAGGCACGGTTCCACTCCATAACATACTTTCTGCTTCCAAACGGGACACATAGAATGATAGAGGCCAGGAGATGATGGACATCACAGCTATGCCGCACAGGTGCACATAGGGAGCGAAGATCTAGAAGAAGACCAAAAGTTAAGCTAGACAGATCTGGACAGATAGTGTTAAAAGCCACACGATGTCACTTACCTTCAATGACAGCCCAGCTATCAGCCACTTGTCACGCCAGAATTTGCATATAATAGCCATAAGAAAGACACACAGTATAATCACTAGCCAAATCAGGACCTGGGGAAACAGAAAGGATCTTCTGACTTCTAGGCATGAGATTTAGCTCAGAATTATCTTCAGAGTGACTTGTGGTGGCACCAATCTATAATCTCAGTCCCTCAGGAGGCTGAGGCAGAAGGATTGTGAGTGTGAGACCATCCTGGACTACACAGGGAGACCTTGACTTAAAAAACTAAATGAAGGAGCTGGGTATGTGACTTAGTGGTAGAGTGCTTGCCTAGCATGCATGAAGCCCTGGGTTCGATTCTTCAATACCACATACACAGAAAAAGCCATAAGTGGTGCTGTGGCTAAAGTGGTAGAGTACTGGTCTTGAACAAAAGAAGCTCAGGGACAGTGCCCAGGCCCTGAGTTCAAGCCCCAGAACTTGTTAAAAAAAAAAAAAAAAAGAAGCTATCCTTGGAAATTGTAAATTGTACATGTATCCTTTACAATATATTCTTATCTTTTTAAAGCTAAAGATTTTGAAAATCCTTACTATTCTGTGTATCCAGTCATTCACTTTTCTGACTTCTATGTCTTTTTTTGGGGGGGGAAGGGGGTCCGGTCATGGGGCCTGAACTCTGGGCCTGGGCGCTGTCCCTCAGCTCTTCAGCTCAAGGCTAGCGCTCTACCACTTGAGCCATAGCACCACTTCTGGCTTTTTTTCTTTTTGCTTATGTGGTGCTGGGGAATTGAACCCAGGACCTCATGCATGCAAGGCAAGCGCTCTACCACTGAGCCACCTTCCCAGCCCCTGACTTCTATGTCTTTATTACACACTTCATGGCTGGAAAAAATTACACAATTATGTGGTCTGAGGCCATTCCCAGATGATATCTCCCTCTGAAGCCAGGTCCTTAACATGGCTTAGTATCTTAATCTATTATCTCAATTTTAAATAAATGTCTTTTTGAAGTATGTTTTCTTCAACAGACTTAATGAAGTCAGGAATAATATTTATATTATTTATGATCATATCCTCAGTGCCTTGTTGGATGTCTGGCACATGGTAGGTATCCAACAAATAACTATTGAACAGATGAAAAATATGTCTTCAAGAGCACTGTGTACTTCGAGGAGAAAGAACACTGAGAACAAGAAGGTGTAACTTTAAAAAATATTTTAAAAATTATCTTTAAGTAGTTGTACAGAGGAGGTACCACATAACAAATCAGTTTATGAACATAATGCATCTTGATCAATATTACCCCTTCAACATTCTCATCCCCCTTTGGCCAAACCCCTTTCCTTACTTTTCTTAGTTTCGTGGTATATATAATGAATTTTGGACTGTGTTCTGCCTCTCTTCCCCACTTCGTTAGTCTTCCCCTCTCCCTTTGGCTCCACCTACCTCTTGCAAGTATTCCTGGTGTTGATTTTGTTGGACTTTGACCTGGTCTTTCTACAACATTATACTATTTGAGCTCTCCATAGAGTCTTTTATATTTCAGTTAATTCATTTGGAACCACTTGTATACCTCCCAGTGTGTTTACTTATTTTCATAGGCACATTCTGGTTACCACAAATGAGCGAAACGATGCAACCTCTGTTTCTCTGGGTCTGGCTTACTCTACTTAATATAACATTTGCCAAGTCTTTCCATTTCCTTATGAATGGTATAATATTCTAATAGATGAGTAAAATTCCCTTGTGTGTATATACCACATTTTCTTGATCCATTCATCCATTGAAGGGCATCTGGGCTAAATTCATATCTTGGCTCTGGTGAACAGTGCAGCAATGAACATGGCTGATGGCTTTACTGTAACCTTGTCTATGTTCCATCGGGTAGATGCTCAAGAGTGCGATTGCTGAGTCACAGTGTAGTTCTAGTTTAGTTTTCTGAGGAACCTCCACCCTGCTTTCCTGTCCATACTGTGGCTGAACAAGCTTACATTCCTACCAACATTATGTTAGAGTTTTCTTTAGGCCGCATCTTCACCAAAGTTTGTTGTTGCTTGTTTTCTTGATGACAGTCATTCTAACTAGGATAAAGTAATGAAATCTCAGTGTTCTTTGATTTGCATTTCCTTTATTTATTTTTATTTTTTTGGTCGGTCATGGGGGCTGAACTCTGGGCCTGGGCGCTGTCCCTCAGCACTTCAGCTCAAGGCTAGCGCTCTACCACTTGAGCCATAGCACCACTTCCGGCTTTTTTCTGCTTATGTGGTGCTGAGGATTCGAATCCAGGGCCTCATGCATGCGAGGCAATCACTGTAACACTGAGCCACCTTCCCAGCCCTTACATTTCCTTTATGACAAATGATATTGAAGATTTCTTGTGTCTATTACTTTTACTTCTCAGGAGTGTCTAATTCATTAGCAAAGAAGGCATAACTTTCTTAACTTTTTCCCCTTCAAATGTAGTTTTTTTCTTTAATTATGTTGCTTTTTAGACAGTTATCTCTTTTCCATAATATAATTAACTCCACATTAAGAGTCTCACAAGATAATTCTTTTGTAGCTTCAATGTTGGATAGCATCTCCAAACTTTTACAAAGTCTTCCAGAGAACAGAAAAATAGGCAATATTTTCTACTTCTACCTTAAGAAGCCTTCAAAATTGTGATATTCAAATTCAATAAAGACATATTATAAGAACTGAAAGATATAGACCAATCTCTAATAAATGGGTGCAATTTTTTTAACCTATTAGCAAACTAAAGTACATCACAACACAATTAGATACACAAGAATCTTACACAATACTAAACTTCACAAATGAGTGATAGGATACAAGTTGCCATAAAGAACAAATAAAGTATTTCCCTCGGATAAATGTGATGTCAAAAGTAGCTACTCATCAAAGACCTTTCATTTTCTGTATTGGTAACACATTCTGTTTTTGAACTTAAAATGTGGGATTTTTGAATTGATTAAGCATGTTTACAAGGAGTTTAGATAGTAGGCACTCACATTTCCCTGGACAACCCCAGATACAAAGGAAAATGATTACAGGTCTGATACTAATCATTTCTTTACTGGGTTAGTCTGAGGAAGGAAAAAACTCAAAACATAAAATGAAAACTCTAAGCCTGGAATAATGACTCTTGACAAGGAACCTCCACGTCATGTAAGTCTAGTTCTGACTGGTTTGCAAGCCTAAGCAAAGTAGTTATCTCCGAGCGAAGGTTCAATTGTTTTCCTAATCCCAGCTCCCTCCTTTTCCATTGCCTGCGGACTCAAACTACAATTAGATTCCAGAACAGCCTCAGGGCATGGAGGCCTAGAAAAGAGTGGTATGATTTTATTAGCTTATATTGGCAAAAATCCAATGGTAGATCTGTGGGAATTAATTCTAAAGATTCCAGACAAAGAGAAGAAAATGTAATTTTAGGTAAGGTTTTAGTGGTAAGGTTATACCTATTAGAGATTATGGTTTCAGTATATCAAAATCCAAGTATTAAACATTTATTTATCTGAAGTCTCAACTCAGTTGTAGCCTATGCTTAGTAAAATTGGGGTGCAAGCTCTTATTTTCTGAGTAGGCATGAGCTGCCATAGCTTGAATCCTCTATGATTCAAGCACAGAGGACAGTATGTTTAAGAAGGCTGAGGCTCTCTAATTAAAGGTGCCAGACTTAAGGTGAGAAAGGATGCCACTGAAACGGGCAGAATTCTGCTGTGGCAGAGGCCAAGTGACAGCACTTAACTCACTTGAGCTATATAATCAGACTTTCCATGATTGGCACAAGCCTGGAATAAACCAGAATCCTTTCATCTTAGTAGTTATTTATCATGGTGTCCCAACTCCAAAATAGGTGGTAATATCAATAAGAATGATTTGTTCGCTCTTGTAATCTATGTTGTTCTCCTAGATGATCTCATGGCCCAGTTTCTACCTCTTCTAGTAACTCAAATATTTCCATCTTATCCTTCACACTTGAATAGGAGGTTTAAGGATGCTACTTGGACAATTTTGTATATACCCGGAGTTAAGGAAATATTAAGTATGGTATCTATAACCGCACTTGAAGATGTAAAAAAGTAAGAGACTGTTTCTAGAGTTGCTCAAGCCCACAGCAGAACAAGAGACAGTATGCTTGAGATATGATTTAGGTGCACACAGGAAGAAGCGCAGTTGCTAAGGGGAGAGACCACTGACTCTGAAAGAAACCATGTGTATCATTTTGCAGAGATTCAAGCTAAGGTCAAATGAACCTCAAAGGAGAGATTTCACAAGATTATAAAATAGCCATTCATGAGATAGGCATTAACCCTACCATAAGAGCTGAGGTCAAGGTTCTCAACAAAAGAACCTCTAAAAAAATAGCACATAGTAAAACACTCTGGAGAAAAGAGCCAAGTTGGGCACATACCCAGATGTCCCTCTTACGCCTCTTAGAGGACCAGGACCATGTTCCTTGCTCATCTCCTCTTTCCCTGTGCCCAAGTTCAAGCGAAAGGGTCCACATGTCCTTGTCACCACTGCAGGCTTCCTAACTTGGATCAAGCCCAAGGAGGATGGGAAGGTTTTATGATCAATACAGTTGGAGTTTTGAGCTATAACAATGAACTAAAATGTTCACGGAATGAAATAAGATTGTTCTTTGAAAAAGATTGTGAAAGTGAGAAATTTGCCCAAGATTAAATTGGGATAAGAAAAGACAGAGCCTCTGAGTTCAACATGAAGAAGCGAGGAAAGGTATAGTTTGGAGCCTCCTTAGGTTCAGCAAATTTGGTCATGCAGTTACAGCTGTGAGAAATTAATTATTTCAGTTAAAATTGTATAAACATTATCTCTTCACTTTAAAAGGAGAACAATGGCAGAGAGGGCAACTGTGTATAAAACACTTAACACCAAGGAACACATTCATTGTCTCAGGTTTCCTACTTTATGACAGGCATGCAGGAACAGTTCCATCCTTTCCCAGAGCAACAAAAATCCAAGTACCTGGGAAACAAACAAGAAAAGGGAGTTTATTTTTAAAGTATCAAATTTCTGTAGCTCAAAATTCCTTTCACAGCCTGGCACATTAGCTTCTTTTTATACCAAACTTTCCAGTCTCTGTCTGAGAAGCTTCTCCAAGCCATGTCACTGACAGTTTATCACCGCCTAGTTGTAATTTTCACCAGTATCCCCAGCAAGAATTCATTATTTCCTCTGGGATTTCATAACTATCACCCTGGTGGTCCCTTCCTTAGTTGCTGCCTCACCCCCTACCCCTAAATGGTCTTTACTATTAGTATTACTTTAAGAGGATAGAGCATGAGAATCATCTTTCCCAAGGGTTTCCTTTCCTTCCTTCTATCTCCTTTCTTCCTTTTTCTTTCTTTCCTTCCTTCCTTCACTCCTTTCTCTCTCCCTTTCCTTTTTCCTCCTTCCTCTCTCTCTCCTTCCTTCTTCTTTATCTTTCTTTCAACTTAGCTTTTTATTTTTTTTGGGGGGGGGGGTCCATTTGTGGGGCCTGAACTCTGGGCCTGGGCGCTGTCCCTCAGCTCTTCAGCTCAAGGCTAGCACTCTACCACTTGAGCCACAGCGCCACTTCCAGCTTTTTTTTTTGTTTATGTGGTGCTGAGGAATCGAACCCAAGGCCTCAAGTATGCAAGGCAAATGCTCTACCACTGAGCCACCTTCCCAGCCCGTCAACTTAGCTTTTTCATTCAATACAAGTGCTCTATCACTTGAGCCACAGTTTCACTTCCAGCTTTTTTCGTAGTTATAGAGATAAAATTCTCACTGACTTTCTTGTCTGGGCTAGCTTCAAAACTGATCCTCAGATCACAGCCTCCTAAGTAGCTAGGATTACAAGTATGAGGTTTCAGTGCCTGGTTCCAAGCTGTTTCTTGGGGAGCAAGTGTCTGGTACTATAACAGTAGTTAATCCCAGGATATGTCACTGCTGCATCATTTTACAGTATGCAAAAAGAGTATCAGTAGAAGGTCTGTTAAAATACATGATTGGAGACTGACAGTCTTAGAAGCTAACCATACCATTTGTTCTGCTAATCGTGTATCAAAGTGCTACTATTTAGTGGTTGCAACTTGGCCACATATCTCCATTTTTCTGATTAAGAAGAGTATTTCCTAACCATGCTCTCTGCTGGTAGCTTCCACACCGCAGCTTCCTGAATGATTTTCCAAAAATAGAAACTTGTTTTATGCCTTACCTACCAGGCCTCTCAAATCTGCCACATATTGTCCATTACTTGTCATTATGCTACAAGCACTAATAGAACTGTCTTGTCCCTCTTAACAAAATATCTTGCATTTTTCTTTCTTCCTAAGTCTCATGGTATGTCCCTTCAGCCCAGAATGTTCTTCCCCAGTCCCATATCTGTACGTTAAAATCCAGCATCCCTTAGATCTCACTATAGTGAGGTTTGTTTTCTGTTAGCTTGTTTTTGTTTTGTTTTGTGCTGGTCCCGAGGCTTGAACTAGCAATCTGTGCACTGTCCTTTAGCTTTTTTGCTCAAGAGTTGTACTTTAACACTAACGCTACACCTCCACTTCAAGCTTTTGGCTGGTTAATTGGAGTCTCATGGACTTTCCTGCCCAGGCTGGATTTGAACTTCAATCCTTAGATCTCAGCCTCCTATGTAGTTTCAATTACAGGTGTGAGCCATCAGTGCCCAGAGAGATTTATTTAATTCTCTTGGCTGCAGATTATCTGTCTTACTTCCCAGAATTCCTGCAGATCTTCATTTAGATCTCTTTAGTGACAATTTTACTGTCCTACCTGTTATTTTTGCCCATGACTTAGTTGCCTACTAGATTTTAAACAATGAATGAAGGCATAATTGAAACTCTGTGTGAGCCAGTAAGAGGGGCTTGAACTCTATGCCTCCCACTCCTGCTTAGCTTTTTTTGGTCGAGGCTAGTGCTCTTCCACTTGAGCCACAGCTCCTTTTCTGGATATTCACTGAACTTTAGATGATGTTAAGAATCTCACAGACTTCTCTTCCAGGTTGGCTTTGAACTGTGATCCTGAGATCTCAGCCACCTGAGTAGCTAGGATTATAGGTATGAGCCACCGGTGCTGGGTATTTCTTGTAATTTGCTATCTCATACCTGTCTGTATAGAATATCCTTCATTAAAAACAGAAGCTGCATATGTTTTACTGCTATCTGTATACTCAGTACTTATTCCAATATTCTCCTTACACAGTAGTTAATAAATTCATTCAAAGGAAAATTTAACACAATTAGCAATCAGTGGGGCCACACAGAATGATGAAATCAAAGGAAAGTATTTGCCCTAGGTATGAATGAGAAACTCAACTGTTAAAGTTATCCTCCTCTTCCATTTCCATTTCCAGAGTTTTCTCTTGTATGGTTCACCTTTCCCATATCATGCAACAGAAGCAGAGACACACTATTTCCCAAGGACTTTTGCTAAAATGTTACTTTGCATTTCAGTTAGATGACTGACTGAACATTAGAACATGTTTAATTGATAATACCTGGAAAGACTGCTGATGTGAAACTATGGGTGTCCAAAGTTATAAGATTGAGTGAACCAGGATAGGTATGAAACAGGGAAATGGGTGACAGGTGTCCTGCCACCCTTGCAGAGGATCACCTTCCCATATACATCCTCTACTAGCCCAGGCTTCCTCCTCCACATTCTGGAGCTCACATATCCCCCAACTCTACTAAGACCAGAGTGAACCTAGCTTCGAGGGCTCCCAATACTGACTAGATACTATTTCACAGGCAAGAGCAACTCACAAAGCCATTCATAAAGAAATAGAACTATCACTCACCAACAACAATGAAGTATAGGCAGTCATGATTCCAGTTAAACTCAGCATTAAAATGGACCAGTAGAACCAACGTCCCGTTCCTAGATGAACAACCCTGAGGGGAAAAATTGGTTTCATTCCTTAAAATGCAGAAATCAGTGGTAGCATCTGCATCAAGGACAAGGACAAGACCAGATGAAATAAGAAATAATGGAATGAGACAAGAACAGAGCATTTTGTGAACAGACCTGGTGGGAACTTTGGGGATAGTTTTGATTCTATCCTATAGGCATTTGGAATGGAACCTCTATAAGTGGTAGGGCTTTTAAGGATTTTTAAAAATTAAATATTATATCCTTATTAAAAACAGTATAACAAAAACATTCTATAACACTAAAAGAGCCATTCCATAAATTCACTCCTTAATAGAATTTTGGCAGATTCCTCATCCATGTTCATGACTATTTTCTTACATAATTGAGATCACAATCACCATATTAATTGCTCTATTCTGTGTGAGAGATTTGAGACCCTTAAAAATAGTACTGATTGGGCTGGGAAGGTGGCTCAGTGGTAGAGTGCTTGCTTTGCATACATGAGGCAATGGGTTTGATTCCTCAGCACTACATAAGCAGAAAAAGCACATGGCTTTAGTGGTAGAGCAGGGATAGCACCCAGGCCCAGAGTTAAGGCACCATGACCAGAAAAAAAAATGTTACTGATTATTCAGTTCCTATAGTATTGTACGTAAATAAATTACTAATAATTTGTTAAGAGAAAAATGCTATGCCTGTGTTCTTGATATTATATATCAATGATCCAATACTTTTCACTTTAAAATAACAGAAATAATCTTTGCGATAGAACTTAAAGAAATCATATCTTTTTTTTTTTTTTCCTGGTCCTGGAGCTTTAATTCAGGGCCTGTGCTCAAGGCTAGTGCTCTACCACCTGGGCCACAGTGCCACTTCCAGCATTTTCTGTTTATCTGGTTCAGAGGAATCAAACGCAGGGCTTTATGCATGGTAGGCAAGCACTCTACCACTAAGCCACATTCCCAGCCCCAGAAATCATACCTTAAAAATACAAAATATGGTCTGGTGAATGTATAACCACATTAAAAATAGTAACTGAAATTTTCCTTCAGTAGGGGTTGTAAGATACATAAAAAAGAAGCAAACAAGCCATTTCCTAGTAAAAGCAATACCAGTTCATGATACCAGAAAGAAGAGTACTCTATAGAAGTACAACTTGTACTAGTCATCTGTACTCACTCTTGGTGGTGGCAGTGGTATGGACAAAGGCAGTGAGATTTAGAATGAGGAATTCATTATCTTATCAATACATTGGTGGGAACTGAAAAAGGAAGTCTATTTTCTTAATGGCATTTTTTTTTGGGTCCAGTTGTGGGGCCTGAACTCTGGGCCTGGGCACTGTCCCTCAGCTCTTCAGCTCAAGGCTAGCACTCTACCACTTGAGCCACAGCACCACTTCCGGCTTGTTTTTTCTTTTTGCTTATGTGGTGTTGAGGAATCGAACCCAGGGCCTCATGCATGCAAGGCAAGCGCTCTACCACTGAGCCACCTTCCCAGCCCAGTAATGGCATTTTTTAAACTGAGACTAGATAATGGTGATGACCACATCATAGGCCCAACTTAAACTTCATCTGATTTAGGTGGGTTATTTTTTCTTTTTGGCATTACTGGGGCTTGAACTGAAGGCCTCATGCTTACTCAGTTTGCTTATCACATCTTCAGGCCAGCTTTTTGCTAGTTATTTTGGAGATGAAATTTCATAGACTTTTCTGCTCAGGTTGTCTTTGAACTAAGATCCTCTGGATCCAGCCTCCTAAGCAGCTAGAATTATAGGTCCCTACAATGGTGAGCTACATTGATGTCTTGAGTCTCCAAGAATCCATGTCACTTCAGAGTTAGTGTCCAGCAATGGATTATTTCCCAAATTCATTCTAGATACATAGTACCTGGTAAATGGCCAGGGGTTCCTTGAGGAGGAAAACTGGCAATGCACACTTCTGGTTATGTAGCACAGCTCTTTTCTCTAGCGCCTTCCCTTTATTCAAGGAGGAATTTGTTGAGGAGCTATTTGGTGATCCAACTCAAATTTTTCTTCATGAGTTCTAGAGCTTTTCTGTAGATAAAACCTACGTAAGAGTCCAGTAGACTGCTATCTATTTCGGTTTTAGGGACATTGTAATTAATTAGCCAAGATAAAATGTCTTCCCGGGTCAGGCAGTTCTTATTGTGTTAGATTGCTGACACAATGATAACCATACTCATATTTAGCAGTTAAGCATCCCTTCTTCCCTATAATCCAGGAGTTCCATCAATCCTATTGAATTCAGAGATCTTGCATCAGCTGTGATGGTACACATCTATAGTCACAGTGCTCACGAAATTAAAGAAGAAGCATTATAACAACTTTGAGGCCAATCTGGGATACATATCCTATCTCAAAAGCATTATTCATTTTAACATTATCATTATTTATTACTGTAACATTATTTATTGTAAACATTATTATTTATTATATTTTCCAATACTTCACAATGTCATCCCTTTACTATTGAAAATACCCAGTATAAGCTCATTATATTCCTTATTTTCATCAAAATGTTCCACAGAAGCAATTATTTGGTTAGCCAACATCTTGGCTTCCGTATCTACTTAAATAAATCGTGTCTATATGAGAAGAGCAGACCCCATTATCTCCTTTATTTCTGAAAACAAAGCTCTTATATAGTTAAATTTAATCAAATGAGACAACCAATTCTAGATAATCCCAAATCAATTTAGAGAGCCCATCCTTAAAGTTCTAATCCTCTAGAACTTCTATTGCCACTAATATCTGTATCTGTAAGAGTTTGATGAAGAATCAGACCTATTGTGATACAGGAATAAGATTTTATAGAACAAGACTTATGCAATTAAAGGAACACAGCAAAATCCATTCAAAAGTTATTACCCTCATATCTGGTGTTGGACTTCACTTAAGTCACCATATGTTAGGCATGATAGCAGTCATGAAGAAAAACTGTGGGTTTGAAATAAAGTAAAGGCACATAGAACCTCCTTCAATGCATCTGACTACCCAAGGGCAAATAAGACTTTACTTACTCTTATAACCTCTAGTTTTGGTTTTGATGGCATGGGTAACCTACAAAATCTCACACCCTGCCACAATGCTGGGTGCAAGTTGGTCCAAGACATAAACAAAAAGAGGTCTGGAGGAAGGTGAAGTAGTTGAGGAGCTGAGTGCTACCTATCAACACAGTGTAATTATAGGTCAGAAATATTATATATGTACTCACACAACACAACCTCCACAAACCTTCAGAACATAAAAACATGGCTGTTACCTCACTTTTGCTTTCCAAATCTTTTTTTTTTTTTGGTCCGGTTGTGGGGCCTGAACTCTGGGCCTGGACGCTGTCCCTCAGCTCTTCAGCTCAAGGCTAGCATTCTACCCACTTGAGCCACAGCGCCACTTCCGGCTTTTTTCTTTTTGCTTATGTGGTGCTGAGGAATCGAACCCAGGGCCTCATGCATGCAAGGCAAGCGCTCTACCACTGAGCCACCTTCCCAGCCCCTGGCTTTCCAAATCTTATGAAAATTGATGGTCCAACTTAACTAAATATCAGAAAAGTTACCACAGATATCAAACCAAGGATTTAAGAAGCTCTAGAAACTTAAAAGGAGAATAAAAACAAAGAAAACTATACTCACCAAATATAAATAAAAATTAAAAGCAGGCATATCAAAAGAACAGAAATAGACTTCTCAAAAGAAACAAAGCAATGAGAAAAGAAAATAAATTCAAAGTGCTAAGACAACACAAATTACATACCATATGCATGTAAGATATTCTGAGGATAAAGGAAACTCCAGGGTTTTCTGTATAGAGGAAAAAGATCTTAATGGAATGATAAGAGAAATGTGATAGAACAAGGAGCAATAAAAAAGGTAAATATGTTGTAGGTTAATCTAAGTCAATATTAACTATAAAATCACATATAGGTGAAAATGTATTTAGGATTAAAATACATGATAATACCTCCTAAGTCAGGAATAAATGCTATTAAGATGTTTCAAGATCCCTATATTATCCAGAAATAAGTTAAAAATAAAGTAAGACTTTGATGGGTCAAATATATATGCTATAAATATATGCTATATGCTGTAAATCCAGGTGTGATGGTAGACATCTATAATCTCAGCACCTAGGTTAAGGAGAAAGCATCACAAGTTTGAAAGCAGTCTAGATTACATAGTGAGACCCTGTATCAAAATTACAAAGATAAGTTATGCTCTAACTTCCATGGTAAGTTTAAAAGAGAGAAACAAAGGAAGGAAGGATGTGGGTATACATTTCAATTTGAAAGAATAAAAATGCTTACTATAAAATAATGAAAGATTAAAAATAATGAAAGATTAAAAAAGAACATAGATCAGACAGGACAATAGCATTAAGAATATAATGGATATAGTAGTATATATACCATAATGAATATAACCTCAAATATATCGGAAAGTATAATGGTATAGAAATGGCAAACCATTGCCAAATTGGACTTGAGAAACCAACTATATACTATTTATAAGTGAAATTCTAAAATATAAAATACAGAAAGACAAATGGGAAAAAACAATGCAAAGCTAGTATTGACATTATATAAAACAATGAACTGAAACCTCTCTGTACAAGTACTTAAATAAAAATGAGGCTTTAAAAATGAACATTTCACAAAAAAAAAAAGAGCCATCATGCATCCTCTGAAAATACAAAAGTAACTCTGAACTAGGACAAAAGATTTTTTTAGTACTCAGACTTTTTGCCCAACTTGCACATTGCATCCTTCAGGTAGAGGATCACAAGTGGGAATGATTACAAGGAATATTACAGAAGGAAGCCAGGAAGATATAAATTGTGGGAGCATGTAAAGTGAAAGTTTTCTGGACCAGGCTGTGGTCAATGCAAAAGCCTACTGTGAAGAACATTTCTGTAACACTCTTAGAAAAGCAATTCCAAAAAGTGCATTGGAATTAGTTGTTGATGAAGGCATTGGATAGCAGAAATAATAATATCAAAGTGTCCAGT